TTTCCCCCCCTTTTTTGTCCAATTTAACATCTTTTATTTTCCTTAATACATACGTGGGTTTTATTTATTCTACTGTCTTCCCATGTACCTGCCTGCCCCCAATTACTTCCTCTCTGTTCTCCTGCTACTGACCCTCTCCATAAGATTCCTCTTTCACGCTTCCTAAGATCTACTAACTCCACATCCTCACATCCTGCCTCCTCTCAGCAGATCATCCCACACCTCACCCCAGTTCACTGTCCTCCATCAGAATCTGTAAACCCTTTCACAAACCTACTGATTGTAATAATCAAGTCCAACATTTCTATACATTGTGACCAAACTATAAATGTCTTAATAGCAACTAACTGCTCATAGGTGGTACACTGTTTACACTGGGATCTGTTAACACTGTYCTTCCCCACAAGGGAGGGGTCCYRGAACCCCACAGGTGCACTATAAGCCTATGGGTGAAGACAGTCACACCTCGGACCCACAGAGCTAAAAGGATCATGAAAAGACAGGAGAAGAAACTGCCCCAACAAACCAAGACACCACATTATTAGACTCCATGGCCAGCACAGCGCAAAAAATGCCAGAGAGGTGACCAGAAAGTACGTCGTGATTAAGATAAGAGCAAATACAGGCAGCAAAAGACCATTTCGACACAGAGCTACCTAAACAAACACAGGAAGCACAAGATGACCTCAACAGGGAGACAGAGGATCTAAAGAAAAACAAAAACACAAAAACCTGGACAGAAGCACAGGGGGCAGCTGGGTTTGCCATACCCCAAAACAGGGAGACACCAGGGCGTCCTTCAAAGGTGAACAGGGTGTCCTTCAAAGGTGACCTAACCGTTGGGTCCCAGAGAAGCCCATGAGCCTTAGGGTCACACACTGAAACTGACCATCTGCCGTTCTCAAGAGGAAAAACTGCAGACAAGAAGGACAGGTCAGTGGCAGTTAGGGGCAAGGAAGGGCCAGGCATGGAAGGTGGTCGGGACTGCAGAAGGGCAGCACGAGGAAGACCTTCATGGTGACTGGACAGCTCTGCTGTCCGTTTGGGTGCTGGGTCAAACCCAGGGCTTCACGCATGGCAARCACCCCTCTACCACTGAGCCATGTTCCCTGCCTGCTCATCTTTCGATTGTGACAAAATGACCTCAATCTATGCAAGCGTAAGCTTTACGCTCCCACACATACAAGAAGTAAATCTGACGGAATCTGAACAGACCCAGGGCTGTGCCTCCGTTACCCCCTGGAGGTGGTCTGCTCCAGGCCATGTCAGACCCAGTCATCTGGAACAACCAGGAGAGGGTCCAGGAGGCCTGGCTACACCTCCTCATGGTTTGGTATCAACCTGTAATGCTTTTACAAAGAAAGAGCTTCATACTCAGCTTTCTTTCCTAAAAAATTTTTTTGGTTGTAGGTGGACACAGCTCCTTTACTTCATTGGTTTCTATGGTGCTGAAGATGGAACCCAGGGCCTCCCCTGCGCTAGGCAAGCACTCTGCCACTGAGCCCCAGCCCTATTTCACAGCTTTCTCTGGTGGCCAACCTGGGTAACAGGAAGTGGAGCTTCAGTGTGACCATGGCTTGCGCTGTCGGAAACCCTGGCACTTCCAGAAGAACTAGCAGTCTCCTGAGAAGTCAGAGGTGGTCAGTGGCTGTCTGGCCATCCTGACGTCTCTGGTTCAAGGCCAGCCGTGGGCCTGCAGGAAAAGCCAGGCAGGAAATGCAATTGCTGGGTCACAGGCATGGTGTCAACACAGAAGGCAGGACATGATGGGCAAGCAGCCAGTGGAGGGGAACAGGCTAGAGGACACCTAATGGGAAATGAGCCACTGGGATGGGTCTCTGAGGGTTCCCAAGCCACGAGAGCAGAGCACTCACTGGGTCACTGCTGGACAATGAATTCCAGAGGGAAGCAGTGGAGCCGGACACTGTGGGCCACATGGATGACCAGTTGGAGARCAGTCCTGGCTTCAGTGTCAGGCTGTGCCACGTCGCTCTCAACAGGGCCAAGAAATGGAATTGCCAGCCCTTTCTCTGGACGGTGCTTGTGAAGAAGTTCCAGGGGCCCAGGTGAACCTCAAGTGAGAAGGCGTGGGAACCTCTGCGCCAGGCTGTGCCTGGCCCTGCAGGTATCTCAAGCCCTCTGGGGCACCCTTCTCACGGCCTCCCACCATCTGCTACCTCATTCCCAGCTGGTATCTGAGCTGACGTTGCAGCCCACGTGCAGCCTCTCTGTCCTCACGTTCCCAAACAAATAAGACACAAACACAGCAGACAATGCCACAATGGTGCAGACACAAACACGCAGACAATGCCATGACCCCCACCACCCTGGCTGGTGCCCCTGCACCCAGGCTGCACCCTCACCCACACCCTTACAACCCCTCCCACCCAGCCCTGCATTCCAACCACAGCCCACCTGGCGCTGGGAGGCTCCACAGCCTCCGCCCACTCAAGTGCGCCTACCTCTCCCGCCACCTGCTCTGGACCTCCAGCGTCTCCACGGTTCCCGCCGCACAGGTTCCTGGTAAGCAGCTGCCTTCCTTGGCCATCCCCAAGCCCAGCTCAAGCAGCCCCCCTCAGCTCTGCCACAGCTCTGGTACCACCAGCAGGCACGCTTTTGCTGGCACGCTGTCTCTCTGTTAGACCATTTTGAAGCGTGATGTTTTGGGCTTGACTCTGTATTCCTGGTGACTGAGCAACACCTCACCCACGGWTACTGGAGAATATAGATAACGCAGGCCTGCCCTGGCTCCTCTGCCTCTCCTCTTTACGAGCTACTTGGTGCGCCAGTTCTCTCCACAGCTACGTCAACATTCCAATACTTGAAACTCCTGGACCTACTCGTTCTGAGCGGACATGCCTTTGACGGGCCACAGCTCAGACACACAAATCAGCCCACGAGGGCTTTCAGCCTCAGACTGAGCTGAGACTAGAGTGTGTGGAGTCTCAAMGGATGGGTCTCACGTCGCTAAACCCATTAACCTGGGAAACCTTGCGGGGACCCGAGGGGGCAGCCGACACCGGCTCCTTGCCTTTCTTGGTGCCAGGCTGCTCTTGCCGTGGARCACGCGCCCACAGAGCCAGCCCTTCCCACGCAGCCCTCAGTGGTCCCTCACACACGCAACGCTGTGCGGCACCATGAGGTTTCAGAGCAGCTCATCACCCAGGACCCCAGCTGCCTGGTCTGGCTGCTTCCTACACGTGGCCTTCCGTACCTGCCATTTTTCAGCTAAAAATGATGTTTTCTAGGTTTATCCATGACCCTTTTTAAAACAGCATTTCTTCGGTGGAGAATTTGAACGAAAACTGAGCCGAACACCATGGAACCTCCAGGCATCCGCCACCCAGCCTCGGCGCACTCTCCAGCCCCTACCCACAACTGCTGAACCCTGGGCTTGCTGGACCCACGGGCAGACACCCCACTGCTGCCTRCAACCTCGGCAAGGACACAAGGTGGGGCAGCTGCACGTTTGCTGGTCTTCCAACAGGTGTCTTCTCCTAGTGCCACCTCCACCCACGCTGACTTTTCCTTTTCACTTAAAAAAGTACTAGATGAGGCACTGGTCCTAATAAAAGTGCCCAAGAGGAAAAACACAAGTAGTGTCATGAACTAAACCTCAGACAGAATTCTCCAGATGCCAAAATCCAAAGCAATCAGAAACTTGATGAACACCCTGGTGCCTTCTGATAGCCGAACGCACACGGGGGCTGCTCACTACTGTTGCTTTCCCTGTCGCCCGGGAAGGGACGGGAGGTTACAACAAGGGTGTTTTGCTTCTGTTTTTTTCAGTATGTACTTTTCTAAAAATTACAAACCAGGGAGCACTTCAAGATGTCTAGACGAGGGCTAAAAACAGAAGCCATCTCACACTGAGAAGAGCCTAAGAACCTGAGAAGCAGAATGCAGGGCTTCCTTCCTGTCAGGCTTAGGAGGGCTTGCAGACAGGCAGCCCCCCTACACCTACACACACACACACACACACACACACACACATACACACACACACACACACACACACACACACACAGCAGGGAGGCGGGGCAGGGAGGGGAGGGAGATGGGAGGAGGCGGGGCTGAGCAGGCGGGGTAAGCTTACCCGTCTGTGCGCTACCAGGAGGCAGTTGGAGTGCTCGTGCTCACAGGCAATCTCGTAGTCGGGGATCAGACCCACCAACTCKCGGACGAAGCGTACCACCTCCTCGTGCCAGGGCACGTTGGCCATGGTGAGACTGCTGGCCGCGCTCTCTCCACAGTAGGTGACACCCTGCGGGTCACAACAGAGGCAGTCACACATCCCCCTGAGCTGGCCAGCCCACCCCAGCAAACATTTTAAAGAGAAGAAAGTGACAAAGGTCGCACAAGGGGGGACGAAGACAGCAGCTGATGCCCCCAGCCACCATCCCACATCTGCCTCCGTGGAGCCCTCCAACCACATGCACCTGAGTACCACCCCAGGCTGGAGCTATGGCCCTAGTGCAGGAGCACAAGGGCTCAGGAGACCAGCGGGCTCCCGGGTACCGCCATCTCGCCAAGCTGGGGACCCTGCTGGGTTCACAAAATCTGACCACTTCAGCGACTAAAGACAATGGCAAAGAACTCACGAAGCACACAGAGTGCCTTTTCAACATCTGGGGATGGCGCTCGGCCTTAGGGGCCTGCTGGAAAGAGAGAGCACCACCTGAGTTTTTTATCCTTATGTAGGGGACACAGAAAGGGAGGTTCCGTGGAATGTTCTTTCCAAAAAAGGTCAGGGGCAGTATTACAAAGAACCAAAAGGCAGCCCACTCCACTGGGTAAGGCCCATTCCCACAGCYGGGCTCCTCTGCTGAGCGGAGAGATGGGGAGGCCAGTCTCCACAGTCCCATCGCTCAAAGCTGGGCCCTCAGCTCCTGCGGCAGCTCCAGACACCCGGGAACGGGGTGAGTGTCCCATTTCCAGGATGACCCAGCAGCATGCTTCCTGCATTCCTTGTGAAGTCCCAACAGGGAAGTGCCACTCCTTAGGAATCATCCTCTAAGGAGAGCACACTGTGTTGCATTTTGACATGAGCATACAAAGAGAAGCACTCGGGACCGCCCGTCCCTGACACACACCACGCGGGACCGCCCGTCCCTGACAGGTGCAACCGCAGCACCGGGAACTGGCTTCCAACTCTCCTGAACTCTGCCACGCAGCCAGGCACACGGATTCCAAGGCTTCACAGTCACACCCACTGTTGGGAAGGTTCCATGACAACTCACAACTAACTTTCTCATAATAAGAGACATCTTGCTGGGAGTGGTGGTGCACACCTATAATCCCAGTGGCTCAGGAGGCTGAGGCAGCAGGATCACAAGTTCAAAGCCAGCCTCAGCAATGGTAAGGCACTAAGCAACTCGGTGAGACTCTGTCTCTAAATAAAATACAAAATAAGGCTAGGGATGGGGCTCAGTGGTTGAGGGTCCCCGAGTTCAATCCCTGGTACCACCTCCCCCTCAAAAAAAGAGACAGCTTAATTGTGCAGGCTCTTCAAATATCCCCAAAATCAAATTTTCTTGCCAACTGGTCTGAACGTTCTCTAGACAGGCCTGCACCAGGTGGTTCTCAACAACGAAAGCAGATGTATGTGGCACTCAAAGTCTGTCTCCTGCACATACCGTGAACAGACATCAGACACAGGCAGCCACAAGTAGGCAACAGGAGACAGCCTAATGTCAGAGGACTCCAGAGCGACCCACACCCTGACAGTAGAGTGGGCACAAGTCACTGGGCAGCCAGGTGACCCTGGCCGGCACACTCCAGTGAGAGGGCCCCTAGCACGCAGAAGCCACCACATGGCCAGAGCTCAGGTGAGGGGGCCCCTACCATGCAGAAGCCACCACGAAGCCAGAGCTCAGGTGAGAGGGCCCCTAGCACGCAGAAGCCACCACAACCCAGCTTCCACACTGCACACAGGAAAGCCCTGGCCGCCATGAGTCAGAGTGCCTAAACTGAGTGTGCCTTTTACATGAACAAGACAAATAATAATACAGTTCAAAACATCAAGAAAATAAGGCTTAAAACTGTGCTAAACTTACCCAAAAATATAAATAACAAAAAAATGATTTATTCGTAGGTCATAAAATATCCTCAACTTCAATTTAAACACTGCTGTGATATCTGAATTACACCATCAAGCATGGAGGGAGTAGCTAGTGCAAAGAGGTCTCTTTTTCTACTTAAAAGTTAGTTCTCTGAAGCATGGAGATTTCAGGTAAGACCTCAGCTTTGGAAAATACTTCACTGCTGGGCAGCAATGAACTACAGTACTTTAAGGGGATGGGTCTGGAAAGGACGAGAGCAGGGAGCATGGTAGTTCCTTATGGGGCTGCTCGCAGTCCTTCCCCTAAAGAGCACCTTCCCGTCCAGTCTTCCTTCAGGCCTGACAAAGTCCTCCTGGTAAGCAGTGTGGAAGCCTCCTAGGCACCAAGGCCAGTGCTCACGCTGGGCAGAAAGCTGGGCAGAGCAGCACAAGAACCCGGGAAGAAAACGATCTCTGGACCTGAGCGCCCACCACCTGGGGTTCCCCAGCTTCCTCCGCCTCTGCTCCATTTGATGGTCTGCAGGGAGCTTGGGCCTGACGTCCTCCACCACAGCTAACCCTGAAATGCTCAGCACTGCCTCATGYCCTGGCTGGCTGCCACCCTCCCCTCCGTCACCACTCCTCTCCCCACCTGCCCCTGAGCAAGTCTCCTTCTCCAAGTCCAGACTAAGCCCAAGAAGCAAGGGAGCACCTGAGGTCCTCAAGAGACCCAGCTGCTCACCTAGATCTAGGCCGTGTTCTGAGCACCAGGCTGCTGCAGGAGAGGAACCCGTGGGGTCCTTCTGCTGGCTGCGTGCCAAGGCCGTCCTGGGACTCACGGTCTGAGGAGAGAACAGGGTCTCGGCAGCTCGACCATTTGACATTCTACTCACACCAACCAGATGTCAAAAAGTTCCTAACACTGTTTTTGTTTCCTATAATTTGACAACAAAAGAAATATTTACCTSGTGAGTTTTTAGTGTTTTCTTCCAGCAATATACCCCAAGCATGCCGCTCCTTAATTTAAAAATGCTTCAACAGCTCCCACCACAACTGAGCCTAGCTTCTTGGCGGGACCCACGGGGTCTCTCCCTCATCCTCRGAGACCTGCACAGCACGCTGGCGGCCGCACACACACGTCTTTGGAGCCAGGCTGCCCTCGGCCCCGTCAGACTCTCCACCCCATTGCCCCACCTAGGCACAGGCCACAGGTTTGGGGGTGTCTGGCTGAGCTCCCACAGTAGGGCTGACCTGCTCTTCCACCGCCACTTATCCCAGGAGATCAGGCCACACATTCCACAACAGTGAACTGCAGAACTCTGCACCAACCCACGCAGGCACTGCCACCCAGGCGCACAGTGGCTCCGCCACTGCCTCTGTGCAGAGCAGAGGCTGGGGCTGTGCCAAGACGGCCATTCTGCAAGGCCTGGCTACAACAGTGCCAATGGCAGGARTTGGAAACCGCCCGCCACCAACCAGCGCTGAGCACATGCTGTTCTCAAGGTGCAAGCAGGGCAGAGACGGCTATGCCTTGCTCACGGGTACGGCAGGTGAGCTTGTCTCACAAACAAGTAGGCAAAAAATGGTAGTTAAGATCCTCAGGCCAGCAAGTGAAGGCCTATGTAATGCACATGATGCTAAAATAAATGCTAATTTACAGAGAATATAACAGAAATATTTTACAAGACTGGCAATGAAAGAAAAGAAGAAATCAATGTAATAAAGAAATAGCATTTTTTGATTTAGTTTAGTAAATGTGTCTAAGAGAAAAAGATCTCAATGCTTACTGAATCCAGGTGGGGTTACTTTTGAATTCTCAATGGAGCCCCTTGGATAGGGACTGTCATTCTCTCTGTAGTACTGAAGAAGCACAGGTGGGGACAGGTGGGGACAGGTGCACCCCCTTCCCCAGGGCAGCTGCCTGGGTAGACCACACACCCTAGGAGGACTGCCGAGACCTCCTCCACCCGGGGTTACTGCTGTGGCTATACAACCACAGCAGGACGGTCTGCTGTCCTCAGGGTGACAAGTTGAGAAGAGAGCATAAGGTCCTTGTTAGCATCTGGATGGCCATCTTAAGTGACAGCCGCCATTTTAAGGAAAAAATATTGCTTTCCGGTCCAAGGGCCTTTTCTGAGAAAGGCTCGCCACCCCYTCATACCAACCCCACCCTTAACAGCGGGCATTAGGACCCGCCCGGCTCTAATCCCTGAGCCTCCCCCATGAAAGCCCCAAAACCCAAGCCTGTGTTGCCCTTCTCAGTCTATGGAGAGAGGGCCTCTATTGGTCAGTTCTGGCAATAAACTCTTCTGTCTATCTCTGCTTGGTCTCCATCTTTCATTTCTTGCTCTCCCATCTCCCAGTCTTCACTTGAGAGAGAGAGAGAGAGAGAGAGAGAGAGAGAGAGAGAGAGAGAGAACAAACTCAGTGAGCAGGAAGTCAGCAACAGGGTCCACCACACAGGTCGGCGCCCGGCAGTGAAACCTTGAAGAGGGAGTACCCGTGCAACTGGGCTCACTGGTCAGCGATCTCTAGGTGTCTCAATTCAGTATTCTGAATACGTACACGTGTAGGCCTCTACTTTTAAGTCTACAGAAATTTAGACTAAGATACGGGTGAGGGGTACCAACAGCACTGCTGGCTCCTGCCAYGACTAACCTCAGGGGCCCTGATGTGACCTGGAGGTAGCACTAAATTTGAATTCCAAACCCCCTGGGGCTCAGCAAGGGACTAGAGAGGCCCCTCTAGCAGGAACCTCCACATTCTCGCCCAGCCTGGCCTGTCACTGAGGGAGAGGCCTCCTCTGTCCTTCAGACCCAATGCTGCCCACGGGAATTTGGGAGGTCCCCAGCACTCATTCCTGCCCTCGGCTTCCTGCAGACCTGAGGGACAGCTGTGCTCTCCAAAGTCACTTTTCCTGACACTTTTGTTTCCAAGCACTTATCTCTGATGGGGGARAGGGTCTCTTAGCCCACCACGTTGCCAGGTCTCATCAAATGCTTCCTGGAGAGAACTTATTATTTAAAAAATTTACACTTTGAAAATTTAAATGTCAACAGAAAACGAGAGAAAAGATGCCTTCTTAGCATCTCAGACCTGAAGTGCTTCGTCCTCCTCAACAGGAAAGCATGCCTTCTCCACTCACTAACTTAACTAATTTCATCTCAGTATTTCTCCCCCCAATTTGGCAGTGCTGGTGATCAAGCCCAGGGCCTGGAGAGTTTACTACTGAACTACATCCCAGCTGCATTTCCTTTGCTTTCTTTTCCTTTTTGTTGTTGCTTTTTGGCATGTGGTACTGCAGGTAGAACCCAGGGCTTTGGGCATGCTTGGGCATGTTGGCGAGCTACAAGCTACCACAGAGAGTTACACCCCACCCAGTCTTTTTCACTTTTATTTTGAGACAGGGTCTGGCTCCATCATCTAGTTGGCCTCCCATTTGCAATTCTCCTGTCTTGGCCTCCAGGGTGACTGGGGTTGCAGACATGAACCTCTGTAACCCCTCCACTTCAGACATTTGAATTATAAAAGCAATGCATGCCTGTCTCCTCCCCAGGGAACAGGACCTGACAACCAGGACACTGGTGCCTGAGGCCCGAGGCCTGATAGGCTAGTCAGGGACACGCTCTCTCTACATATGACCCAAAATGTTCCTACATTGTATTTCAGTATTAACAACATTTAAACTGTGGCTGGATCACATATTTCTCTACGAGTTTTACTTCTGTGGATTTTGTCTGTTCCTAAGATATTCATTTGGCAAGCAACACAGGGTGCTGACTTTTTAGATCCCCAGTGGTGGTTGAGAAGAGCCCTCAGACCAGCCACCTACTTCTGCAACACGTCTAGAGTGCTTCACAATAAAGCTCATTACCAAGTTACTGCRTGAGCTCACCAGGCTTCCACTTCATTCCTCAGCTTAATGTCACTCTGCATTAGGTGCATTAGGTCATCCCCTCCCTTGCAGTACAGCCTCACTAAGAGCAAGAGAGGGTCTTCCTGAGAGCTCCCATCCCTGCACAGGGCCAGGCTCTCCCACTCGCTGCATGAGCACCTCTATTGGAGCTTCAGGTCCCTGACTGACCCCTACCAGGAGCCCAGTGAGAGGAGTCATGCTTAGTAGGCAGGCCTACCTTCACTTCAATGAAGTCAGGGCTCCCCAGGGACACGAGCTCAGCGTAGGCCTGGAGTTCATCCACATTCCAAGACTTCACAAGCGTCAGCCGGTAGACAGTGCGCTGCTGCTGAAATAGAAGAGCCAACCCTACTTTAATTATGGTGGCGGTCACATGGTGACCCAAGAGGAATCTCCAGCTTCCCAGCCCCTGGACAACCCCAGATGAGAGAGGCTCAGCATAGGCTCATGTACCATAAGCTATATTTTGGGTACAAATGGAAAAAAAATCCCCAATGAAGTAAGATCCTCGTGGGCCTAAGAAAAGGCACTGCTACTCAAGAGTGTCTGTTCTCTCTTCATAACACCTACACTATGTGAGGTACCCCAAGGTTCCTGGGCACACACAGCATATTAGATTCAGTAAGAAATATCAAGCTGCCAAAACCTTTATGCTGTGGGAAATTAATGCAAAKAACCTGTGGGCTTTCAGACAATGATCACACTCAAATTGTTAATGACAAGAATGGTCACTCTCATCCTCTCTCCTGCTCTCTCATCTTTCAATAACCTCTTGGCATTACTTGTTGGAAGAAGAGGCACACCTACAGATGTCAATGTCGTCGTTTGTTTACAGTATGTCCCAAAGAAACATGGTTCTCCAAAAGCAACCAGACAAGAGCCATTAGGCCTCAAGAAGCTTAGACACTGCAAGGTGTCTTGGTGAGGTGCGCCCCTGATCTGGGAAGTGGGTGGGGGTGAGGAGCAGCGCCCTGAGGCAGGAGGACCACAAGTCTGAGGCCAGCCTGGACAACTTAGGGAGATCCCACCTCAAAATACAGTAAAAAGGGCTGGAGAAGTAGCAGAGTGGCACAGTGCCTGCCTCGCGTGCAGGAGACCCTGAGTGTGTGTGTGTGTGTGTGTGTGTCTCTCTCTCTCTCTCTTTCTCACACACACACACACACACACACACACACACCAAGGTTTGTACCCTTTAACTCTGCAGCTCCCCTTCTAGAACTTGAAACAATTAAAGATGCAAAGATTTATTGAAAAATCTCAAAACGACATTACTGATAACTTAAAATCTAAAATCTACAAAGTGCACTCTTCCCTTGAGTGGAGGCAGGACCTGCAACTTGAGGAAACAGTGAGCCACAAGCAGGACACCAACCTCTTCCCCGTCCCTGCTAAACACTCTGTGACTAGGAGGAAATGCATGACCCTTCACAGGAGATCTTGGCAGGCACATCCCACCCACCACGCAACGCACGAGAGAGAAGGCAGCACTCTCCCAGATTCCTTCCACAGCAATGCTAAGCTTCAAGGAGAAAACGGCAAACCAGTCTCAGTTGCACTGCCATATGCAAAGATCTTAGTGACAGCTTAGCAAATAAAACTTAGCACTGTGTTAAAACTTCTCAGAATGCAGATGATTCAACATTAGGCTAAATGGGTATACAATTCATCACACTAACAGTTAAGCACAGAAAAAAAACTCACAGATACCCAAGGCATGGGATAGAGTTTAAAGGCTCAGCCCTGATTTAAAAAAAAAAAAAACAAACAAACAGAATAAACAAATAAAAACCCATTAAAAAACACACTTAACATAAGGAAAAGTACTTTGTAATCAATGGTCCAAGTAATTCTTAGTGGTTAAAAAAAAAGACACTCCCATTTAGTCGGACTAACAGAAGAATGTCCACTCTTACTTCTGTGTCAGCGTGTCCCTGCAAGTTATAATCCAAGCAAGATAGCCAGACAGGACTTACTGGAGAGCACATAAAAATAATTAACCGTAAATAATGCAATTGGCTTCTGGGAACCCCAAGACCATCAAGTGAAAAATCAGATTAGAATTGAGACAGCAGTCATTTACAAAATGAAAATCAACAGCTTTCCCAGCACAGAGCCACAGGCCAGATAAACGTGGATTCTGGAACCAGGGAGAACCTCACCACAGCCRTAAATGTGGTGTGTCTTTATTATTCTCTTTGTTCTCAGCTCCTAGCTGTGCACAATGGAAGGTTTGAGACAAAATTAAAAGTGTTAATGCACACAGCACTTAGAACCAAGTGGCAGCAGCAGTAATAGCTATCACATGCCAGCAACGACCAACCAGGAAACAGAAGGCAAAGAAGAACCTACCTACACTGGACACTTGTTGAAAGCCTTGAGATCATTTAGTGAGATAACATGCAGAAAAGGAAACAAACTATCTGACCCCTACCAGAGGTCCCACTGGGCTGGCGAATGTGAGGGGACTCTGAAGGGGGTCCTCAATTTCCTGGAGCAGGCACCTGGCCTAGCAGGCCCACAACCAGGGCAGAGCCAGCCACCACCAAGCTCACCTGCTGAGTCTGCTGTGCTTGGCCAGAAACAGAGTGGGTTGGTGTCCTATTCACTCTGCAAATGTGCAACGAGGCAGAGAGCTGGATGCGACACCCACACCAGGCTCATCTCACTGTGCCAGGCCCGGATATCAAACACGAATGTATGGTTGAGGGGCTGTCATGAAACACCATCCCCAGATGGCCTCTTCTTCCCCTGGTCACTATTCTGCTACCCAAAGACATCCCATGTCCTGACTTTTACACTGCAGTTCAGTTTTTTTGCCTGTTTAAAATTGACATGAATGGAACCGCAGATTCTTTCGTCTAGGTGCCTGCGTGACCCTCCGCGTTGCTGCACGGTGAGGCTCATTCTCTTTGTTATCAGTATTCCACTGCATGAATACACAAAAATGCCTCCAACCACTGCCTGCTGGGAGACACCTGGATTATTTCCAGRTTTCAGCTATTATAAAAATGGCTGTTATCTCTTATCATATTAGAGTTTAGTTTTACCTGTTAAAGGAAATTAGGTAAAATGTTACGGTGACACCTATTCTTTTGTCTGTCCCCCCCMCACACACAGAATCCGAGAGAGTCGCTGTGCTGCTGGACGTAGTTGTGAATGGTTTCAGTGCTGCCTGCTTCTCCCCTTGGGAATGCATTACTAGGGAAGCCCCTCCTTGGCCTCTGATGGAATACACTACTGCAAGGTTCCCGGTGGAGCACCCTCTAGGACACACCACTCCCTGCAGCCGGGCAGGTCATTGTAGGTACAGCAGGCCCGCCCCCGCAGCCCGACACTGCCCTGGCCGTCTGGTCTTACTGCCAAGGCTAGCCGCTCCCGCTCTGCCCTGCGCCTGCCTGGAGGCTAGAGACACCTGTGAGCTGTAGCTCCCCTGCCACGTGCACCTCCATGCCTGGAGCTCTGGATTCTGGAACCAGGGAGAACCTGGTATTGTATGCCTTTCTCCTCTGGGACCTGCCTTTTTCCTACTGATCTGTTTTAATGCAAGCTTCACATATTCTGGGTCGACGAGCTCCGTGGCAGACATGTCAGGAACATGTCCAGCTGCTTGGTGGCCTCTGGTCTATCTTCCTGCAGCATCTCCTCACCAACAGGATCCTGCCTTGGGTGCAGCCCATTCTAAGCACCCTTCTCCTTCATGATCAGCACTGCTGCTGACTTTTAGAGAACCTTTCCACACATCGAGACCATGAAGAGAATCTCTTACATTCTTTTCTAAAAGCTTTATCATCTCGTCTCTTAGGTTGCATCCAAAATCCCCCAAAGCCGGTTTCTGTGTGTGTGGTGCCGAGAGGTCAAACTTCTTTCCTAACAGCTGTGCCACTGAGATGGACCTACTGCACCTGTGCGGGCCTTGCTCTGTTCCTCYACCTTCCACTCCACTGACCAAATGTTTACCTTGGTCCTCGCCTGCACTGACTTGCTGGATAGATTTCACACCCAGTAAAGACCATCCTTCTCAGGGACAATTCTGTAACACAGGAGCAATTTTGTGACAATGTGGTAAGTTTTTCCCCATTGATTTATTCATATGGCAACATCTTGATTTTCACAAATGGGGGTGCTACAGACATCTAGTGGGTAGAGGCCAGGGAGGCTAAGGAACATGGCACAATCACAAGACAGCCCCCTATCCTCTTCCTACCAAGAATAATCAGGCTACCTGCTGAAATTGAGAAACCCTATGATGGAGACCTTTACCAAGAGAGCCTTCAATATTCTTGCCCCTCTATTACCCATAAACCTTAGAACTGCCTATCAACTTTCAAAAACTATATATAATCTCTTCTGATTCTGACAGAGGTGGCATCAAATCTAAAATCTAGTCTTGTCCAATAGAAATATAATGTGAACCAAAAATGAAAACTACACATTTTAAATTTGCTATAAGTCAAATTGAAAAAGTAAAGAGTTATCAGGTGAAATCAATTTTAATGTTTTATAACAATATATACAAATGTTACAACCTAAAACAGTAATCAACATTTAAAAACAATTGAGATATTTGACACTCGATTTTCCATACTGAGTCTTTGATTCCAATGAGCATTTTATACTAAGCGCACAGCCCGATTCAGAGTAGTCTCGTTTCAAGTGCTCAAATGCCATGTGTAGCTAGTGGCTCCTGGAGACATACTACTTTCCTAATGCCGAATCTTCCCAATCAATGCCACTTGTTTAGGTCCTTTAAATTTTCTCTCAAGAACATTATATTGTTTTCATTATCTTTTGCTTTTTATATTCTAGTTAATATATTTTTGATGCTTTGTTATAGTGGTATCTTTTAATTTTTCCTTTTTTAACTAATATTTAAGACATTTTTATTATTGGCATACAAAAATATCGTTGAATTCTATAAACTAATTCTGTATCAAATGAGTTTGTAAAATGTACTTGTTAATTATAGTCACTAAAATAATTTATAGATTTATGGGAAATTTTCTCACACAGGTTATATTAAAATTTCATATGCAGGTTGAACATAATAATCTGAAAATCCCAAATCCTCCAAGATGCAGAACACTTTGAGCGCTGATAATAGCACAAGTGGAAAATTCCACACCTCAGGGTCAAAATACAGGTRTAATAAAGGTACTGTACACAGAAGCCTTTAGGATATTTAGGTGCTAGTAAAACACAAATGGACCTCGTACTCAGAAGGGGGCCCCATCCTCAAGGACGCTCTGTCCATCCACATAAATATTCCCAAATCTGAAAAGCCCACAACACTGTGGTTCCAAGCATTTTGGCTGAGGGATCCTAGACCTG